CTAAGGCCTCTATACTAGTTCGAGCTATAAGTTTATTGTCAAGGTTAAGTTAGGTGTTCGGGATGAACAACGAATATAGGCCTTGATTCATCGCGAACATTCCCACATAGTGAATCCTAGATCATCCGAACTCGTTTCTAAGAAAGATTGAAGAAGGAAGAAGAATTAAACTAGATGAGGTGAAAATAATGGGAGGTACCTGAAAAAGACTCTGGTAGGCCACCTTTTCCACTAACTTATGAATCATGAGTTTCAGATCGTATCGTTAGAAATTAATCTCTAATCTTTCCCCCCCCAAAAAAAAAATAAAAAAATGAATTAACACCTTAGAGGATAATTGTTGGTGTCCGATTTGAAAATTCATGTCGGGTCACTTGCAGGTCCACTTTGAAGTGGTCAAAAGAGCTTATTTGTGAGGGAAATCAAACAGGTCAACACATAAGGTCGACCAAGGGAAGTCACCCATGCAGGTCGGTCCATGGGAGATGTTATCCAATGACATCATCATTATACAACTAAAAAGGTATCCTTCAATGGCATCGGCACCATTCATCATAGGGATCCATTCATCATAGGGATTCAAAAGAGAAGAATAACGAACACTTAAGGTACATGATAGGATCTAGATAGAACGACAAGCTCCAGTCTCGTGGCCAATACAAGAAAGAAAAGGCCTAACAAAATGGGTGAGTCAATTCTCTATAATGTCATTAAGCAAATTTTCAACAATACCATAATCTTATTCGCATCCAAAATATTAGCAAGTAATATCGTTAATCTATTAAACATTTTTTTGAAGTTGATCTAAGAGCACGACGTCATTTTTCATTATTACATCTTATAAGACGGTATTCATAGTATTAACATTTGTTTATTCAATATTTACCTCGTGGGTATATATTCCAACATCAATATAAAAATAGAAGAAAAGAAAGTACAACCTCAACAGCACTATTTCCATTAAGATCAATACACCAGAATCCACTAAACATAATAAATTTCCATAAATGTAACACAAACATACAAAGTTATTATTCATGCAGTATATGAAAATTACATTGCATAAACAAAGTACAATATATATCAAGAACTCTATTTATCAGGAGTTATCTTTCCCTTTTCATTGTGCTTCTTGGCAGCATGAACAGTAAACTTTTTCGCAGTTTCAACTAATTTCTTGCCCACCTTTGTTGAAACATGTTCCCTCATTTTGGGAAGAACGCTTCCATTCTGGACTGATCCTGGTGCACTGCTGCTGCTTTCTCCACTCTTGGAACTCATTTCTTCTCTCGTTTTAATATTGTTTTGTATCTCTAATTCAATTTGTGGTGTCTCTTTGAAGGAAGTATTTATACAGGATGAGGGCTATGATTTTCTTCTAAACTCTTTTTTTCCTCCAAGATTCCCTGTAACTTTGCTGTAAATTCATTGTGATTTCAAGGAAGAAAACAACCGTTTTCTCGGATGTTTTGATTTGGATTAAAATATACTGGTAAAACATGAGCTGAAATGAAAACGTAATAACCTACACTTAATGTGTTCGAGCGTGTCTAATTCTGCAATGTGTTGTCTATTTTATTTTCCTTCATCTGCTATTTGTAATTAATTCTTCTTAAATACTTCAGTTTGAAATTAATTAAGCCACGTTCGAGCCACATTCTTATTTTCATTCTTATTCTTGTACTCATTTTCAACCACACATTTTTCAATAAAATAATATTTTTCATCACATCAATAACTTTTACTTCTTTTTCAACCACATATTCCCTATCACATCACAAAAAAATGCATTCTCTCCTAAAAAATGTGCATCAAGCACGCTCTAAACAATCAAAACTGATTTGCTTGTCCGTACTAATTTTGAATCGACCGTTCTCTGAAATTTAGTTGAGGTCTTTGTACTCATCATTTATCAACCACGACCAATTGGCAGCTGCATTAGTGTTATTAATAACCTCATTACATGAGCATGTTTGGTAAGGCTTAAAATTGAAAATATAGTCGTTATTGGGTCCCACTCGTCAAATAAAAGTCAACAATAACGACTAATTTTTCAATTTTAATCCTATTTTAATCTCTACCGAACACGCTCCATATCTTAAAATTCATTTATTTGTAATTTTCCTAACAAAACTGCGATAAGTAGTTAATAAAAATGGTATTATTTCAAAGAGGAAACCAGCCCTTTGCTCATCAATTTCTCCAAATGTGGACGCGTAACGTTTTGTGGGTGTGAATTAAGGACAGGACTACTCTCTCTCTCTCTCTCTACGGTGTGTGTATCTGTGGGAGAATGGTTACATTTCATAGTATAAAAGCTAACTTAATTATGCTAAATATGGAAATTACTAGGAACTTTTATATTAGAAATTTCGAGGAATGACGTCAAAAGTTTTCTTCATTTTGATTCTTAAGACAAATGAATTAGTTGAACACGCACATATACATATTGCATACGAGAATGTTGGTTATTACATTTTGATTTCAGAAATATTTATTTTACAAGATGGATGAGGGCCGGCAAGGAAACTTCAATGGGAAGCCATGCAAGCACTGTGCAAACCTGTAAAATTTCGGGGATATTACTCTAATTAACCAGAAGAACGCACAACCACAATTTGGAGAAAATCATAGGCAAAGGGCTGTTTTCTTCCTTTGAATTTACATATATTATTTAACAGAAAACGAATTAATAGTGGAAATGAAATGAATGGAAAAAATAGAGAAGTGCTCGTGGCCTTATATACTGGTTATTATTTCTATATTAAACGACGTGCAATCGTACTCTTAATAGAGCATGAGACACCCACAAAACACACACTCAAACATTCGCAATGTTGTTTAGTACATTTAAATTACAACCTAAATTTAACGAAGATATTTTAGTTAAACATTGACATTTTAGAGAAGATCATAAGCAAAGAGGCGTCTTCTTCTCTGAAATCCAATAGAAATTACAGCAATATTACAGGAAAACATCAAAGAAAAAGAATTTCTAAGAATGTCATAGATTTCATGCTTTATAAATACCTAATGTCTTTCTTCAGAGACACACCAACAAGCAAAAGAAAGAGAGTTGATAAACATATAAAACATTCGCAAAAGAAGAGCAGAAATGGATTCCAGCAGCAGCAATGCACCAGGATCGGGCAAGAAGGGAAGTGTTTTTCCCAAAGAGAAGGAGCGTGTTTCAACAAAGGTGGGAAAGAAAATAGTTGAGACCGGGACAAAAGTTGTAAAATCGGCAGTCACGGCTGCCAAGAAGCACAGCGACATGGGAAAAATCAGTCCCGGTAACTAGAATTCTTGATGAACAGGAAACCTATAGTTTTTTATTGTCTTGTTTGTATAATGTAACAAAGGAATAACAGTGATAAAATGATGTGTGTGTTTGTGTAACATTTATATAAAAGCTGTATTGTGTTTACTTTTAGTAGATTGCTACCATGTTGTGTCTTTGAGGTTGTACTCGTTTATTTTTAAGTTTCTTGGATATTGAGGTATGCCTTTTTATTGTCCAGAACGAAATTAATGTTGTATGGCTGATTGCGATTACTAGAAATTCCGGTTCTATGAACTATCTTTCATGTATACTATTGGAGTGGAAGTCATTTTGTTGATTCATTTGAATAATTAATTCAGTTCTAGTCCAACCTGGTAAGACACTAGGTCCTAGGTAACCTAGATCGAATCGTTATGAATGGTTTAATTAGTCTAGTTCACATACATATTGCTTGGGGTAAAATGAACAATGGATTTAATTTGTAGAAAATTCTTTCTTGATAGTTTCCTACGTATCCAAAAGGGTTCGAGAAAAGAGCAAGAAAAATCAGCTTTTACACCTATAGGTTTTGTAAATCTGATCTTCCAACTGTATAAGCTCCCTCTATTTCTCCTTCAGACTCAATCTTCTACTTTGGTAATGCCACAAGCTGCTATATAAATATTAGCCAATGTCATATATTTGATAAGGTAAACTAAATAGCAGTGTTCAAAATGGAGCGTATAAGCGACACTTAGGTGCCACCAATGCATGAGATGTGGTGAAAACATCATGCTTGGGGCATGAACGCCTAAATAAGCGATCAACGACAGTATTGACCGCTTAAGGTTCGTCAATGCACGCGTTATTATATATATATATATATATATATATATAT